TTACATGAAATAAATTGACCAAAATACCCCCGAAAAAAGTCAGGGGTATTTTGGTTATTTCTTTCACGAATTATTTTTTTTGATATTTTTATTAGGTGCGTCTCACTAAGATGTAAACACTCTTCAAATCTCAAATCACTCCAATTTGTAAAAATAAAAAATAAAAAATAAAACACTACCGGACAATCATGACCGTGCGATAAACTTTGGACAGGATGAGGGTAGGCGAAATCACTGTTCATTTTCGCCTATAGGAAAAGTCTTCCCAACACCTATAGGTAAAAATAAACAGTGATTTCACGTACCCTCATCATCGTCCAAAGTTCATCGCACGGTCACGATTGTCCAGTAGTGTTTCATTTTTTTTTTTTCTACAAATCGGAATGACCTGAAATTTAGAGCGTGTGTTCATAAAAAATAGGCGAATCTACAAAAAATATCAAAAAAATATTTTACATGAAAAAAATTGACCAAAATAACCCAGAAAAGTTTTGGGGGTATATTTTGGTCATTTTTTTTTTTACGAATTATTTTTTTTTATATTTTTCTTAGGTGTGTCTCACTAAGATGTACACACGCTCCAAATTTCAAGTCATTCCAATTTGTAGAAAAAAAATGAAAAATGAAACACTATCGGACAGTCATGACCGTGCGATGAACTTTGAACGGTGATGAGGGTAGGCAACAGCACTGTTCATTTTCGCCTATAGGCGTTGGGAAAACTTTTCCATACATATATCTTTTCCATATATATATATGGGTTTGTTACACTACTCCAACACATGGAGTCTATACTTAATGTACTCAACATTTTAAGACACTTGATACCCTTATCCAATAATGTAGTAACTTTTTGTCTAAGGGTATTTTAAGTAATTAGTCAAGGGTAAAATACAAATTCTTAATAGAAACAAAAGCATTTATTAATTAAAGTGGAAAATGACATCACCAGCATGATGTGTGACATTACCAATATGGAGCATTAATTTTTTTTTCACTACTAATAGAATACCACTAATTTCTTATAGAAATATCCATTTTATCCATCCTAATGACCAAAAATAACCTTGCTTGAAAATTTCATATCATAAATCAAGGGTATCGAAGAGTCCAAAAATGTTGAGTACATTTAGTTACTCCATGTATAGGAGGCATGAGTAGCCTAACAAAACCCTATATATTTATATATATATTGGGTGACGTTTGTATAAAGTGTCAACCTGAAACAATCACAGTAAGGTGCACCTCAAAATCTTGTTAAAAGATGTATTTTTGGTGTCAAAACTTCATCATGGCCTAAGAGTCTATTTTTTACCTTTATTATGAACTTGAAACTTTTCACCTTTATTATCATTTGAAAGTTTTCACCTTTATTATGAAATTGAAAGTTCCAAAACTGGTGCAGATCTATGAGCACTAGAAAATCTTAAAAATGGACAGACCAAATAATTTTTCAGTGACGAAACAACATTCTTCGATGGGTTTTTAAGGTACACCTTACTTCTACAGTATAAGGTTGACACCTTTTATATATTGAGAAAAAGTTTTCAGAAAGTACAAAAAGGAAAAAGTTGTTTAAAGTTATTTTCTCAGGAAAATGAGAAAATATGCAAAAAATAAATTAATCAAAAGACATAAAAATGTGAAGAAGTACAAAACACCTACGCAATTATCATTTTATAATCGACTTATTTAGTATAAAACCATTTTAGTATAAATAGGTCGCCCTGAGGTTTCTTTCCCATTTTTCTGTGGGTCCCTTTTTTTTTCTTTTTTTTTTTTAGGGGGGGGTGGAGAACTCAGGCAAGCCAACCTGCTGAGCTTGAATTACTCAGGTGAGTCTGGCTTGACTCACACTAGTAGTAAAACATTGGTCGGGAGAGGAATAAGGAGATAACCATTAATGTCTAAAGTGATGTGGAAGCAACGTAGTGAATACTAAAAAGATTCAGGACATAGGACCAGATAAAGAGAGCATGTTTACAGTGTATAGAGTAGCTATGCCACTGACTCTGACTCGTCTCGACAACATATGCACATGCTAGGAATTGCATTCCTCTAAGGTGAAGACGATCCAATGTGAGCTTGTTATAAGTTGTTGGAAACACCTGAGATTCTAAATCAATTAGGAATAAAAAACACGAAATCGCATATGGCTGGAAGATTGTAGCTATCGAAATCACTGTCTATAATGCAAGAAACGAGATTACAACTTTGTTGGAATCGAGTTCCAACCCATATGGAATCCAGATTCCCACCTTTGAAAATGAGTTTCAACCCAAATAGAATCAAAATTCCTACCTCTTTGGAATTGAGTTTCAACCTAATTCAAATCAAGACTCAATATCATTTTGGAATCAAGTTTCAACTCAGTTGGAATCGGGATTCCTACCTCTATGGGATCGAGTTTCAACCCAATTGCAATCAAGATTTCAACTTCTAGAGTTTCTACATCATGTTTATAAGGCAAAAAGTTCAAGTTCTAGAGTAATTTTATGCAAGAACTCCTTAGTATTGGGATCAATATATTAAGTATGCTTAGCCATGGTTTACTCTAGTATTACAATCAAGATCCCCAAAGGTCTTAAAGATTGGATTCCAAATAACTCAAATCAGATTTCATAAATGATCGAATCATGCTTTCATGCACTCATGAACCATAATATTTGACACTGTGGAATCCCAAAAAATCAGATCGAGAATCTATGAAGGCGGAAGCAAGATACTATGTTGATTGAATTGCATTTTATTGGACCTACAAACTGCAATATTTGATGTTGTAGAATCTAGATTCCAAAAAAATCAACTCGAGATTCAATAAATAGTGGAATAGATTCAACAAATGATCAATCAAGATTCAATAAATATGGGAAACGAGATTTAAAAATGTGGAATCGAGATTCTTAACTTCAAGGAAATGGGTTCCATGAAGATTCCTTTATGGAATCGTTGAATCAGAATTCTGAAGCGGAACTGCCACCTAGGGTAAGAGATTCCAGTATTATGGCATAGTGGCATGTAAGACATAAAAATCGATATCCTGAGTGGTACAAGTATTACTAGACAAGCCTCACATGAGAAAGGACGCCAACACAACCAAACATCATCATCATCATCCGAGCTTTATCCCAACTATTTGA